TTATTACTTTTTTATCAAAATCTTAAGTTGACCATATTCTGCATTGTTAACAGTAATTAAACAAGATATATTTACAACATAAGTGTTTAGTGCAAATGTTATCGATGTATTTTTGATTTATATAACTATGGAATGATCAATTGTTAAAGATTTTCATGATAATTTTATGTGCACACTGCATAGAAATTTCAATTCAACCGAAGATGACTTTCATTCAAAAACTATAGTCATTCACTTTGCTGTATTTTTCGGAAACAAGTTATACAGTTATTCAAATTAATAATAACTATCGTTCTTATCAAATATAAACTTATGAGAATTCTTCTGGATGTTTGGAAAAGGTAAAACCCTATTTTTGGGCTTACACCAGCAAGGACATACAAGTTTTTGCATAAATCTTGGGCGTCAGCAAGCATTTTCGAAAGCATAGTCAGTACTGCAAATTGATGGGGGTGCATCCTTCCTTTCTAATATTTCGTTATCGTGTGTCAATTTTCCACCAATTTCTTGAGAATGAAAGAATGGTGCTATTTTAGTTTGACCACTCGTATCAGCAATTGTCTTGTTCTTTTTATTTGCATCTTTCTTTACTTGTAAAGCACGTGGTATTGCTCCAAATTTCTACTTATTGAACGAACTGATTTTATTGTTTTACAAAGCAATATTTATATGGTATTCATTACAAATAACAAATATTATCATTGGTCAAATAGTTGTTCTATCTTATATCTAATCTATATATGGTACACAAGGACGTCATGTATGACGTCAAAAAGTTTTTTTTTGTGTGTTAACCGTATGGGAACGGATACACTGGTAAACCCAACTATGTACATTCTATTTCCCTAAAGTATTTTGTACTTTATGAGCATGACTTAACACAAATAATTAAAATTTCTGCAGCAAAATTCGACTGTGTAGTTGCCGTTCTCACAAACGCCAAATTTTATGTTCCTCATAACAAAAACGTTACTAATTTAACATGTAAATTTTTCACATTACATTCTCTGCCTTCAAAATTAATGTTTATTTCGTCCTTACAAATTAATCAAAATGTTTTATGAATAACGCGCTAAATTACAGGTGAATTTAAGACACGCTATCAAGACTTCGAATCAGAAAAAGTCAAAGAATCTGTAAGTGGGGAGCTTGCATATCGGAAAATAAGATATATGTCTACTATTTGTTCAAGATGTGAAAAGGGGCAACCATCTGCCCCCGTGGCTCTGGTGCCCCTGGTAAAGTTCGTTTCCAAAAAAATTCTTTGCAGACGTACGCCAGGAAATGACGTTCACCAGAATGCATTAAACATTTAGACAAATCTCAAGGTAAAACGTTTCTCTATTTTTCTTCTGGGCCTTCTTTACTATTTTTTTGTTCTTTTGATATATTTAAACGTCTTACGATGTCAAAGTGTACGTCTATTGGAAATAAATCTAAAATAACAATTTTTATGAAAAGGAAGCTTGAAGCCCCCAAAATTGCCCGTATGACATCGTTTTTTGAAATCAACGCCCCCATATTGAGCAAAAGGTCTACTCAAGTGAACTCCCGCGTTGGGAGACGATAACCTTTCTCTGCCTGGTCTATTTTTCTATACGCAGTCGTTACGTAAGTTTTAAACTTATATAAACTAAAACTTATAAACTAAACTTGCTTCACTTTTCTTGACGACACGGTAGAATGACCATGGAGGCATACAAGTTATGATTTTTTATGAAGGATTTCAATAATTTGTCTAACTTCCACAGAAATGCCTAAATGCAAGACAACTTTAAACACAAATATTCACAGGGTTGTTTTTAGCTACCATCTTCATTAACCACTTTCATATACAACTGAAACTTTACGAACTGATAATATTCAACAAATTTCAGTTGTCCATAAATGGTTAATAAACTATATCCATATTTATCTTAATCCTTTTATAATTCGTAGATGGAGTCAAGAGAAGAAAGGAATAACTGTTACATTCAGAAAATACTTTCAGATGTTGTTACAAAGAAACTTGTTCATCTTTTTATCCAAGAGTGGGACATTAATTACAAAAAATCCCACGGAGTATGGGATAATACAAACGTTAGTGGTCAGAAGTTGTTCAATATTGAAAGATCAAAAAAAATATTTCGTGATGAAAAAATAATGTCAAAACTTAAAGATGGTGACAGCAGTAAATGGGATTGCACGACAATATGTAAAGCAATATTGTTTACCCACTCGATTGGAACAAAAATTGATCCAAAAGTTAAAGCTGCTGTGGAAAAACTTCGTGATGTAAGAAACGATTTCACCCATGTAAATCCAGGAAGAAAATCTGATACCGAATTTGACAAAATGCTTTGTGATATTGAAAAGTCATTTAAAGATCTAGCATTTTCATTCACTGAAATTAATGAAATTAAATGTCAACGAAACACATTTAATTCTTTTCAAAAACTTCCTTGCAAACCAAATCACGATGTCGTTAAACGTACAGAGTTAGTTAATGAAATCACAGCAGATCTCAATAACTTGCGCAGTACTAACAATAATGAACTAACATATTACTATATTTCTGGTAATCCTGGCAGTGGTAAATCTGAATTAGCTAGACAAGTTTGTGAAGAAATGTATAAGTCGTTTGACTGGGAAAATAAAACAACATTTGTGATGACACTCGAAGGAAAAGATATCGACTCTCTTTTGAAAACTTATGCTGAACTTTATCAACGTTTAAACAATAATAAAACTGTCATTGAAAATATCTCAAAAGAAGCAAAAAGCAGCGAAGACAAAATTAAAGATTTTCAATTATTGCTGACACAACAGCTAAAATCTTGGCAAACATGGTGGATTGTTGTAGATAACGTGGTTGAACTTGATAAAATATATCCATTATTACCTCAAGTTGGTGATCATAGCTGGAAAAATGGTCAAATTGTAGTAACTGTCCAAAATACAGATGCTATACCACCAGATGGAAGTCTAAATAAACACATTTCAGTTAGTCATGGTATGAACAATGAAGAATGCCGACAACTTCTATCTTTCTTTTCTGATATTCATAAGAAAGATGAAAAATTTTTAAAGGATTTATCAGACAAATTAGATCGTCAACCTTTGGTATTGGCAAACGCTGCTTACTACGTAGGTAGTGTAAAAAAATCAAATCCGACATTCACGTGGGAGCAATATTTTGATAAGTTGAATAAAGGAGAGCGACAGAACATGGATGGCAAATTACAAAAAATAAACTCAGCTTACTTAGGAATGAAAACTGTTATGTTAGCAGTACAAAAAAATGCCGAAGAATCCATTTTGTTGGAACATGTTTTTAAACTTTTCTCAATAATATCTTTCGATCCCTTACCACAAGATGTTATAATAGCATTTATTAAAAGCATTGATCCACAAATATCTGCAGAAGATGTCTGTCTTCAATTAAAGCATTGTTCTTTATTCCTTCAAACGGAAAACAACGACATCCGCCTGCACAGCGTTGTACACGAAGCCATCATAAATTATTCATCGCAGACCTTTGGCTGTAAACAAAACGAAAATAATTCTAAAAAGTCTGCAGCTGATCTTGCCTGTCAAGTTGCTTGGGCACTAAATCATTTTAAAGACAGAGAAGATGAAATCAAAATAATTCCACATCTAATTAAATTCATAACAAATTCATCATTTCAACATTTCCTAAATAAGTTGATCGATGTAAAATCATCAAAACAAAAACTTGATGAAAGAAATTGGAAATTTGCCAAATATTTTGTAGATGTTTTGAAAAGATTTTGCAACTATAAACTTGCAACTAAAGTACTTTATGAAATAACAGAAATTCAAACTAAAGTGTTAGGTATTGATCATATTCATGTTTCATATTCGTACAACCAGCTGGGTGTATTGCTTTGTAAGAATGGAGAGTATGAAAATGCTAAAGATTTTGTTGAACGAGCGATGAAAATTCAAGCAAAAACATTTGCACCTGACCATGTTAATATTGCGACAACGTACAACAATCTGGGTACGGTTTACAATGATATGGGAGAGTACGAAAAAGCAAAAGATTGTTATGAACGAGCGATGCAAATTCAAACAAAAACATTTCGACCTGACCATGTTAATATTGCGGCAACGTGCAACAATCTGGGTTCGGTTTACATTAATATGGGAGAGTACGAAAAAGCAAAAGATTTTTATGAACGAGCTAAGGAAATTCAAGCAGTAACATTTGGACCTGACCATGTTAATATTGCGACAACGTACAACAATCTGGGTTCGGTTTACTTTAATATGGGAGAGTACGAAAAAGCAAAAGATTTTTATGAACAAGCGATAGAAATTAACACGAAAGCATTTGGACCTGACCATGTTAATATTGCGACAACGTACAACAATCTGGGTTTGGTTTACAATGATATGGGAGAGTACGAAAAAGCAAAAGATTTTTATGAACGAGCGATAGAAATTGAAACGAAAACATTTGGACCTGACTATGTTAATATTGCAACAACGTATAACAATCTGGGTTTCGTTTACAGAGATATGGGAGAGTACGAAATAGCAAAACATTTTTATGAACGAGCGATAGAAATTCAAACGAAAGCATTTGGACCTGACCATGTTAATATTGCGTCAACGTACAACAATCTGGGTTCGGTTTACGATATGATGGGAGAGTACGAAAAAGCAAAAGATTTTTATGAACGAACGATAGAAATTGAAACGAAAACATTTGGACCAGACCATGTTAATATTGCGTCAACGTACAACAATCTGGGTTCGGTTTATTTTAATATGGGAGAGTACGAAAAAGCAAAAGATTTTTATGAACGAACGATAGAAATTCAAACAAAAACATTTGGACCTGACCATGTTAATATTGCGACAACGTACAACAATCTGGGTTTGGTTTACTTTAATATGGGAGAGTACGAAAAAGCAAAAGATTTTTATAAACGAACGATAGAAATTGAAACGAAGACATTTGGACCTGACAATGCTAATATTGCGATAACGTACCACAATCTGGGTTTGGTTTACGATAATATGGGAGAGTACGAAAAAGCAAAAGATTTTCATGAACGAGCGATGAAAATTACATTTGGACCTGACCATGTTAATATTACGAGAAATGAATCACGTTGTAATTTACTGTGATAGGAAAAAGACGAAAAACCAACACAATAAAGTTTATAACGAGTGACAGAACTTGAAAGTGAAGCATTTGACCTCTATATTTATCTTTTATTTGCTAACAGCTAAAAGTCTTTCGTATTTGAGAAACGTTTCACGAGATAAAGGAAGAAAAGACAGTTGTATTTTCAGTTTAGAGCGATAGAATTTCAAACAAAAGTATTTGGACCTGAACATGTACTGCAAAAATATACAACAATCTTCATTTGGTTTTAAACAAACTATAGATATTGAAACTGAAGCATTTGAACTTCTATTTATCTTTTATTTGCTAGAAGATAAAATACTCCTGTTTTTGTGAAAACGTACAAAGAGATAGAAGAAGAGGAAATGAATTTTTACCTCATTTTCAATGAAGAAGAAAATCAATTTCTCTTTTCATTTTAGGTATGTCTTCTTTATACTAAAGATGATTAGAAACAGTTGTATTGTAGATTTCTTTTAACAAAAGTTCAAATAACAACAGTTGTATATTTATAAAAGGTATAAATATATTATTGACAATATTCAAACATTTGTATTTTCAAGTTTTCAACTGTCATTTATTTACTAGAACAGTTTTTATTAAGAAACTTGTATGGAACTATCAAAGTATATTTATGAGTTTAGTTTGCAATATCTAGCTATTCAGAAGTTGTGAAGTTCCTTAAAATGAATGCTGTTGGGTCATTTTCTGGTATAATGAGAGTAAATACTGATCCTACAGCAACCATGATCATGTAACATCTCTTTTTGAAATGCTGAAAAGCCCACAAGATTTGCTTTGCTATATAAGTATGAATACAGTCTTTTCTATATTTATTTCAATTTATTCATATAATTTACAAAATATACTTTCTATTTATGGAAATTGTAGTTGTTTGAAATGGACATGCAGTTATTGTTATTTGATTCAATCATACTTGATTTGGGGACTAACACCTTAATTGTCGTGACAATGTTTGTTTTTTTACTTTGGAGGAAATATTTATTTAATGATTGATTCAATAATACTTTATTATAGTTCAAACTATAAAGGCAATGTAAAGTAAAAGTTATAAATAACCTGAAGAAGAAAAAGCAGGATATCATTGCCATAGAATTGACAAAAGTGAAAATGACACATTTAACTGTCCGACTACCAGATTTACTAATATATAAAAAATCCCAGCAGTGGCGAAGAAAACTTATTAAATATGGGGGGAAGCACAAATTTATATATGCATGTATTAATCTGTTAAAAAAAAGGATTTCAAAGGAACTTAATTTAGCAGAACATGAATATATGAATATGTGCCTCCTACCCAAAATAGAGTCTGCTATGTCATTTATTCCGAGGGCATCTTGAAAATCTCTGGCATTGTGTGTAACAGTTGGTATTTCATTTTGCAAGAAACTTGTTATTATTTTTTTTCCAAAACATAATTTGAATATTAGAGAAATTGTGTACAAACTATAAAAAGTTTATATTAGAAATATATTTCTATTGCAACATCCTCCTTTAAAGTATGTATCCATGTTCAGGAATGAATGACATGACCAGACATTTTTGGCTAATGTCTTTATAAATGATAAGAACAGTAAATGAGTAATTTCTAATGGTGTCTTTACTACTGATATTGACAGTAATGAGTCATTTTCATTGCTATGACATTCATGTCTTGCTTTTGCTTTAGTTTATACTTTACATTGCTTTGAAACTGATTCTCCCAGTTACATAAATGATTTTACTACAAAATCACACTAGAAAATTTTGTAGTTACCTCCGATCCCAAGAAAATCAAATATAAATTAAAAATGAAATTTACTACATTTAAATGTAAGCGAAAAAAGGAACATTGTCACAACAATTAAGGTGTAAATCTCCAACTGTTAGTGGAAAGAAATGTTGAATCAAGTAACCAAACTTTAACCTTCTCTCCACACACAATTCTTTTAAATACAAATTATATTTTACCATTTATCACATTGAACAGAAATTTGTATATTTACACAGCAAAGCCAGTGTTTGGGCTTTTTAGAAAACTTGCTAAGCACTATAAATTTTTCATGTAGATAATGTACATGTTAAGATTTTTCTTAATAAACAACAAAAAGAACCAAACAAACACTCCATTTAAACCTTTGCCTACAGAAATTGAAAATACAACTGTTGCTGGTCAGCTAAAGGAGAAAAAAAACATACCCAAAAGCCAGGGCTAACAAAGCATCTTGTTCATTGAAATGGAGCTACTAATCCATTCCTTTCTGCAAAGACTAAACACAGTTAAAATCCTTTGCTGACAAGCGTTTTGATAGATGTGGCATTGGTGACCACCTGACAATGTAATTTATCTTTATGTATGTTTTAGGTAGTGATGTAGCCAAGAAAAATGGAGCTTTTACTTTAATTATGTGTGTCATCTCATATGTAGTGTAGTGAGTAACGAAAAAGTAATTGAACAACAAAATATTTATTTTCATAGCACTGGTAGACTTGCTATACACTACAACTTGTCATGGTGTTATTAAAGGGCTGAATTCTGATATCTTCCTTTGATTCTTATTTTCTATTTTTCGTAAATTATACACGTATTTAATAAAATATACATTTAAGTTGATTTATCCAAAGGGAAACCCCACGGTCTGGGGATCTAAGTTCTTGATACAGGGTGTTTCAAAAAAAGGTAAACCAACTTTTATTAGCTGATGTGTGTAACTTACTGAATAAATAACTGTAGTTTTTAATATTTATAAAAAGAGTTCTAGGTTCTAGCAATGAAATGCTATGTTGTTTGTTGAGATTTGGAAGGAAAATGAATGAAATGCAAGCGCGTTAAAAAATTTTGGTCAAATTCACACTCTTTCACCTTTGAGCATTTTTCCATCTACATGAAAGGTGCTTCACTTTGATTTTGCTGGTTTGTTGACTGACTATCACATACTTCATGGTGATGTCTCATTTTTCAACCTTGACAATATTTGAAATTATCTGACTTTTACAATTTCCATGATTCAGCAAAAATTGATCCTCAAGGAGCCTTAATTAAACGTAGTTAAATACATAATAAATTAATAACTACGTAGGTATAATATAGAAGCTAAAGTGCATTAAAAATCCCAGTCAAGAAACTTATTTTAATTACATTTATACCTCCTAGCGTGGAGATCAATGATTGTCGCTGAATCATGGAAATTTCAAACTATCGGCTGATTTCAAAGATCACCAGAAAAATAATTGTTTCATTTGAAAAATATCTTTATAAAACTCTTTATTTTGGTAAATGAAATACCTCAGATGGTTTAGCAATAGTTTCTTCATCAACAAACTTGCTCCATGGTGTAATAGGATAACAGAGAGGAAGAAATAGTAGGACAACCTTTCAAAAGTTATAATTATTGTAGTAATCATACCCTTGTATCCATCAATCACACCAGGATCTCCCCTACCATCTCTCTACCTCTTATATCCCACCCGCTGTTTTGTAGCTTCAAACACAGTCAATCCCTTGCTATCCTTTGCTTTCTCAACATCCCCAACAAATCTTAATGGATAACAATTGATATATACATAAAACATTACCAAGCCTATTTACTAATAATTAAGAGCCATGTACTACATTATGTTTTTAAGGTAAGTTCATGACAAAGCACATTCATCATATTCCACTCAAATAAACATTTATCAGCTTGAATCATTTCAAAGTAATTGAGTGATATAATACTTTAACATTATTCTATTTCAGACTTGATGCATTCACTGAGGAACACGTTTGATGTAGGAATGTTTAATACCCTCTACATATTGTGAATTATGTATAAAAAGTTAGTCTGGAAACTAATAAACGATGAAAAAGTTGATTTGTATTGGGTTTTAGTATCAATCTACACTACAATAAATCATCTCCACAATGTAAAACACATAAAATTTTGGAGAGATGTGTGTTCTTGCACTAACATGACTATGGTTGAAGATGTATGCTATATCATAGTTATGCTATAAGCACATTGTAACAATATTATATACATATATTGTAACTAACTTCTCTTCAATGTGAGCTGTGTCATCACTTAGATCTAATGCATAACCTGTGATTTATTAAAAACAAAAAGATCACACATAACTCATTAACAAATACATTTTTTCTCAAACTATGCTTGCTTTTGCTCTTACCGTAACTTGAGAATGTTTTTAGTTGATTATCAAATTGAAATTTACTGATATGAGCTGGCTCAACATAGCCAGACAACATATTTTTATGTGCTCTTTGCTGCTTCGTTTTAAATGGATTTTGTGGTCCAATCTAAAATAGTAGACTTCTTCAAAATCATGATTTTGTCCATGTGCATGTAAATGGTGACAATGATTAAAATATTAACGTACCGAAGCAGAAAAGAGTTCGTCATACTTTGCATTAAATGTAACATCTTTCATTGAAGGATCGATGTGTCTTATCAATTCCTTCCTTTAAAGCATAGCAAATCAATTCATAGATTTAACCTTGGTGTTGGTAGTTGCCTAGTTAGGACTTTGGATAAAAACTATTACACTTTACCTTAGCATCAACAATTGGCGCGCTGTTTAAAAAAACTTAGATTTTAGAGCATCCATATTGACAGTTCTCTCGACTGACTTTTCACCTTCTTTAGATTTATCATTATTACTTCTCTCTTCATCAAAATAATCACTTTGATAAGACACCAATGATTTGGGACTTGCAGCTAAATCGAGAGATCGGAGCACAGAAGTCATATTGAAATTTGTCACGTGAAACGTGAACTGAAAGATAAATATTAAATGTCACCATCGTTACGCGCGCGAATTGTTTTATCGTCTTGTCGTGAAATACGATTTTACCCACTTTAACTTTTTTGTAAAGAAACATCATCGTATGCGCATTGTCAACTTTCTTGTTCTCCTTCCATTGTATTGCTTTATAATAAAGCTAAATATCTTAACGTTTTAAGTTCTTTATTATTCGTGAAAAGCGGTATGTGGAATAACAATACGAAGGTATTGCAAGTTTAATTGCTTCATCACACTAAGCATATGCACATACATTAACTGAATTGCAAACACTACTTTCGCTGCAGAGTAAGTCAGAATACATGAAACTACTTGACAACTGCCGTATTGGCAATATTTTGGAAATAATTGGCAATAATTATAACAATATCAGCAGTGTTGTTATTATAGTATTTTAAATTTATAATAAGCTTCTAAACATAAACATATTCTGACTTACCCCGGAACTTCCACTGCATTGCGCTACTTGCAAATTTTATGCAGTTATTTAGGTTATTTAGTTCAGACCTTTGCAGTGCAATGGGGATGGGGGTGCAAGGCAACATGAATATAGACCCTGACATGACATAGGATTAAAGTCTTCCATTTAAAAATTCCTAATATAGAAGTGGAAACTAGTTTTGTTAATTATATGTACATAATTTATTTGGAGGTTTTGTCTCTCAAAAAAGCTTCAAAAAGGATAGAGCCCGTACTGAGCAAGCTAACTAGAGGTCAGGCTTTTGAGTCTTTGTTGCCAAAGATTGAGAAATGGTTTACCAAAGGTGTAAATTGCAGTACAGATGATGATTCAGTTGTTGATCCTTGCCATGTAACATCTATGCCAAGTATGGACCAGTTGCAACAATGGAGAAAAATAGTTGAGGCATGAAGTACATGCAAAGGAGCATCTGTCAACACATCACAAGGAAGGTTAGATATCAATCTGCAGAAATTTCACACCTTAAAAAGCATACAAGTAGAAGTCGAAGAGGAAATTGCCTGGTTTTCACGACCATTGAAAAACCAGACAGGGTGGTGGAACATCCATCAGCTGCTTCAATCACAGCCTTTCAGAAGCTTTTGTACAGAACCCCATACAGTGAGATTATGAAAGAACGAGGATTGTCATCCAATGAGATGTCCAGGTTATGTGTTGACAGATGGGTGTCAAGTGACCACATATGCTGGTTGACAACAAACCTAAACCAAAAGAAAACAGATACATATTATGTGTACCTCAATGGAACAAAACCACCCACAACAGCCCAACACCATGATAAATATGAATTCATTTCAAAATTCTGTTGTGCCATAAATGTTGGTAAAAAAAGCAATGGCAACACATTCCTTGGAAATGATTTGCACCCCGGAAACCATTGGGTATTTTGCTATACTAATGACAAAAACATTACACATGGGGATTCATTAGGGGAGAGGAGGACACAAGTGCACAGACAATTGTTCGAAAGCGTATCCATTCCAAACATGTAGCAATGTTTGTGGCGTGGTTGTAATGATTATGATGGCTATATCAAGCTATAACTATGCCTTTTTCAAGAGCATGCTATCATTTTCTAAGCCAACCACAAAGAATATTCCATCAATATACCTAAGCAATCCCACACATTACAGGGCATACTTACGGATTGTACTTGGATGTTGGATCTCAGATAATGTTGTTAACCTGGCATATGTATTACCACAGTTTTGGAATACACTACAAAAAGGGATTTTACCAGAAAATGAAAACACAGCAACAACTTGTAAAATTTCCAATAAATAGAGCATCAAGAGACTCAAAGATCACACCATCAGTCTTCAATAAAATGGTGAAGGATAAAATCATGCAATGTATTTGAGTTCAATGATGCAAATGATGCAGTCAAAAAGGTGTTTGAGATAGCATTGCTAATGTTCTTTTCACTAAAATGTCATTGTTAAACAAGAAATACGAATATACTCACTTTGGGACAAGTAGGACAGATATTTCCTTCATCAAGCTCAGGAATAACACAGCTCAACATGTTTAGTTTATGTCTGTAAATTCTGAAAAAAACAATGACACAAAGAAAGCAATTATGCACTCTTAAACAAATGACATAAACAAAATACAGTGCAAGACAGTAATACTTGAGGAAAAATCCTTTCCCATCATAAACTTTAGCATTTTGATTTTCTCCAATTAAATACATCTCTTAAGATGAGATTCTTAGGCTATAAAGATGACTGCAACTTTCCCAGCAATTCATACGTAGTACAGCAGTGCAATAAATCAGTGACCTACATGCAGTTACCTATATTCTTCTAAAGCATCTATAATGACAGGATACATTTTTGGTGTTGCATAAGAAGAGAATATGTGGTTATGATTAAACTCTTCAAATGACTGACAAATGCTTTTATTGATGCCTGGCATTCCATCTGCACAGAATGAATCAATTCAAAAACTCAATTGCAAATGCAATTTTGGTTTTGTAGGTGTTCCACCCCAAAGGCCAAATTGCAGAAGTTGAACAAACTCTGAGAGCATGAGCAAAAGTGTACCTCAACAGTACAAAAGGTGCCTAAAATTGAAAAAGATCCAAAATTATAATTGTGTTGAACCATCCCAGCTAAAATGAAAAAACTTTTGCAGCACATTTTACATATAGCATACCTATAACATCAACAACAGAAACACTTCTTTTGTGATGAGCTGCTTGGCATGAACAATCATACACCAGCATGTTCATGAGTTTATATGGCCATAACATGCCATCCTACAAAACAATGAATAACCACGTAGAAATTGGTTGTAATCAATCCCCTTTCTTGCATTCATAAAAAATATTAGATTAGTGCTTCATAGCATGTTTCACAATGTAAACTCTCATTTTATTTTTGCATTTTTTGTTGCAAGTGTTGAGAGAGTTAACTGTAAACACTTTTATAATATCTAGCTCATAAAGGTTACCTTAAATATTTCAACATGATGACAAATATTTACGGTTGTGTGCAACTTTAACATACAGTTCTCACAATACTTTGCCATTCGACCACAATCGCTGCACCTAAATTTTGCTTCATTATCACAATGAATACACTTCAGATTGCTCCAATTTTTGCCAGCTAACTGAAATGTATTGTTTATAATTGAATGTCGCAAATTTTTCCATGCTTTTTGTTTTCTTTCAACTTTCTGGTAATAAGACGATGATTCTTCACAATCATGGTTAACATCACTTTCAAGATCACTGTTATCTTGTTCCATTTCCAGTTCATGGCCTTCCAATGCACCACAATTATCCGGACTGTTAAAAGAACAGCTTCCTCTATGATCCTCAGCAAACAATTCTGACAAATGCACCTCCTCTCTCTCAACATGGCCATCCTCATCATGATATGTGACAGCTACAGTTGCTTTAAACCTTTTATTGCTCCTACAAAAATTATCATAAAAATCTATAAAATGAAAATAAATGTTGAAAAGTCTAACAGCTATAAGGCCGTTATTTGGTGTACCTTGGCATCTTTTAAAATTACCAGAAAGAAAATCACAAATGAGAAAATATTATCGATATTACCAATGACACAATAACATAAGTTAAACGACCAAAGTACAACGTATTTATCTCCCACGACTACCAGTCGACGTTTTGTACCCGTAATTTACCGGCTTTTAGCCACGTCTCATAAGACGAATGGGTGATTTGTTTGATGTTTGTAACATGTTTGTAAATGTAGATCGTCCAGGTTGGTATAGTCCTGAGAAGGACTGTTTTTGTTGTTGTTGACTGACGTTTCAACAACCTTAGCGGTAGTCATCTTCAGAGTGATTTGCTTGTTGGTAGAACGAAAGGGTTTTTCTTCCGGTATATTGTAGGAGCCTTTTTCCTAGGGTAGGGGTAACATATCTCACGTGACCGGGAACGTAAATCATTTAAATTAATTCCACAAACTCGACTAGAACGCCGCGCAGATATCATGTAGTTCGTTGTGTCTTGAAATCTTTCTGAGGTATGTTGATTTTAAACTTTACCCTTCGTTGTTATATTGTATTTTGATTTTGTGATTTAATGTTTCATGTCCATTTATCGATTATTTTGTTTTTCTGTAAAATATTCTACTTCCGCGTTATGTACACGTATGCAAATGTTTTATAAAGATAAATTTGTTGATTTTGGTGAGATTTGGAACTAGCTCGAATCAAGTTTGGAAAATTAACTTGTTAACTTTCATATATCTTTATAGAATAATAAAAAGAAATAAATTTCTACTATATAATAGTAATGTTCTACATCGATACACATCATGTGCATGGTCACGAGTTAGTAGAGGAAATAAGATATTCATGGATAATTTCGTAAAAGCACTATTGCTAATGCGCATTTAATAAACAGGCATTCTGGAATTCCGCGGGAAAGAAAACGAGAATTCCGTGGAATTTTTGAAATCAGTTCCGCGGCTATAAATCCAAATTTCGCGACCAAAATAACAAATTCTGCGGGATATAATAAAACAAACAAAACTATTCTTTATCAAATTGCTAGTGTGTAAAACTGGTCTATTTTTAAACAGTGCCATGTGATAAAATTTACATTACTTATACGTAACTATGTTTAACCGTAACGAGCACCAAAAGTTGTAAATGAAGCACTAAAAGTGATAATGCCCCCTACTGTCTGTAACAGGGCATTTTAACATTTCTACAATATCAACAATATTAATCCAGCTCTCGTCGTCGATTTCCGGCCAAATAAAATAGAATGCGTTGCCAGAAGCCTTTACCTCCTTCAAAAAACGAACCTCGATTTCTTCTAGTTCTTGGTCTATATTCAGTATAATCCCACAGAATCTTTGAACCGCTAGCTCTTGATGATGTAAACCTTACACGAACATACATTCCGATTGTAATATTGGAAAGTTTAATTGGCCCAATGCCCTGTTCATCTCTGCTTGCACCAGACGAAATTTCCTTTATTTTGTCCATACTAGTGCTCTTATGTTCACTTCTTTTCTCTTTGCTGGTACCTACATTGAGATTCTTCAACTTTCTCTTGTTGCTGATTTTTTGTTTTGACTTATTCTGAATACCACTTCCGGCATTGCAAAGTTTACAGTTATGAAGTACACTACTTGATGTTTCCTGAATGGAACAACAGGATGGAAAGGTGCAAATAACTCTTCTGCATTCACTGCATTGGTGTCCATATGAGACCTCTTTCTGACAAAGAACAATATTTCAATTCATCACCTGACTTCTGTTTTAGAGCGTTTTTAAGAGACATGCGTTTTGTTGCACCGCTGGAACTAGAAGCAATGGATTGGGGTGTATCTTTCTTTTGAGAACTGACTGACTTAATCTGCAAACTTTCATTGCCAGAACTGGAAGCAATGTTATGGGCGGTACCTTTGTCTTGATAACTATTGGGGCTTGTCGATTTTGTGGCAAGGTGCCGAGAAACTTTCTTGACATGTCTTTGTTGAGGACTTTCATTTTCCTCTTTAATGGAATTTTTCACCCTCAAATTCCAGTTAAGGAAATGTAATGCTTTGAGAGTTTGCTCATTTAAATTCCTTCTCTTCTGATCAAGAATGGAATTATATGTGCTGAATGTCCTTTCAACATCGTATGATCCCAATGTTCCAGTGCAATAGTGGGAGGCAAGCTTGTAAAGTTCTGGAAGTTCTTCTGCATGGGATTTCCAAAACAGCTTCAGGTCTACCTTACCTTGTGGACTTTCTGATACAGCAGCAGGTCCGAATATATCAACATACTTATGCCATTCTTCATCGGAGACACTTTCTTTGAATCTAGGAATATTGGTGTATGAACTGTGTAGCTTTGATGAAGAGACTATGTTGCGTGGTTCAAGTACTTTGATTTCCTTCAAAAATTCTGATGCTGGTTGTCCTCCATTAACAATATACTTCTCGAGTTTTGCTTCTGCTTGCTTGAAAACACTTACAAACTGTTTCTTCAAATCATCCTGGTGATCTATCTCCAAATCATTAAACGATTTTGAAAGATCATTAGAATCCACTGTAATATTTTGCCTTAAGTAGTCCAGTAGCTGATTCATTTTTACATAGGACTGAGTAATGTGAGGAATCTTCATTTGAAAGTAATCAAGATATATAAGCAAAGATGGTGCTTTCATCTTAATGAAGTCAAACTGAGCTTTCAGTTTCAATAAGTATGTCTCATCTTCGTATATTTCTCCCAATCTTATCAAAGAATTGGATGGTTGATCCGAGACCTCAAGCTCTGCTGATATGAAGCTCCTATAGTGCAAAAAACGGTCTGCGTGATATAGCACAGAGTCTAACCAAGCACTCCAGCTTTTGTTGTTGGGTTAGGAGGCATACAGACAGACTCCTCTTCAGTAGAGACTTTTTCAAAAGTTTAGAAACCTACTTTTCTGCCACTTGGAATGTAAAACAAATTTCTGAAACATTTAACAAACTCAGTTATTTCAGAAAAATTTTCTTGAAGTCTGAAACAACGAGATTAACAATGTGACTATGGCAAGTAATGTGCACACAATTTGGAAAAATAACCGAAAGTGTGGACGAAAATGCTTTCTTCATGTATGCCACGTTATCAGAATTAAAATGAGCACATTATCAAAGAAATATCATACTCATTTACGACTTTGAGCACTGTCTGGGACACTGTCACATTGTTGGTGCTGGTCAAAAAATGTGTATCCAGTAAATAAGCGCAAGTATTGCCATGAGGAGATAGTTCATCAAAATCAAGAATAACAGCCAGGACATCCATTACATAGCGTCCCTCGTCATCGCTCAGCTCATCAGTCAATATAGCGACTTTTTTACCGTTAAATTTTTGCTTCAATTCCTCTTTCTCTACAACATATACATCAAGAAGATACTCATCTCGCAGTTGAGAGGATCCAGGAATAGCACCGCCATTTTTTTACCCTTGTGGTCAAGAACTCTCTTAGATATGCGTTATCAGATTTTAATAGCGGAATATTCGCCGCAGTGCATGCATACATATATCCATTCTTGACAAACCTTGATTTTCTCTGCCTTTGCATTGTTAGATAATTTCAGTGCTGTTTTGACAGACTGCTGCTTTCCAAAAGAGTTTGCCTTGGCATGACCCTTTGATTTTAGGTGATCATCGACGGTGAATTTCCTTACATGATCAACTACGACATTGCACTTTGAACAGAACAACAGACCATCATCCACGTGAAAAGTTCCTGACGGATATTTACTTGCTCGTTGTCTTGCATCTACATTCACAGAAAGGTGTGACTTTGTCTTTGGATGAGGAACTTGGGACAATTTCTGTACAACAAATTTATCCATCCGCAAAGCTTACATTGAATGATCTTCGCTCGTAAAAACTGCCGCCATTTTTTCCTCGTATTTAATTTAAATAAACTACGTGAACGGAAGTGAAACGGAACGGAAGTACTTCCATTTTGTTTAAAATTTTACAGACGTAGCAACTAGCAAAGGCAACGCACTAGTGTTGTTTCGCTCCAGACTTCATTTAGAACACCATATAATTCGTAAGTTCAGGGAATATTTTTGAAAACAACGTGTAAAAATTAAAATTCCGCGATATTCCGCGAATTTTGATCGATTCTGCGAAATCGCGGCACCGCGCAATTCCAGAATGTCTGAATATACATGACAAGTTTTTTTAAAATAGATATGTTTCGACATCTCATAATGCCATCTTCAGTATGAGTGAAATAATAAGTGATACAGGGTTTATGTAAAAGTAATATGATACATAAATTACAACAATAAAAAGAAAATAAAATAAATTAATGGGGAGCGTCCGAGCGTATTATAAAATAAATATTATATTGAATTTAAAAACTTGAACATTGAAGTCAGGGTTAGTTTTGTTAATGTGGAGTGCCGCTTTGATTTTAAGGGTGAATGAGGTGTCGGCAGTGTCGATGATTTTGAAGCAAGAGGGTGAATAGTTGGTTTTACATGAGTGAGATTTAAGAAGGTGTCGGTAGATATGAGAGTTTTTGTCTGTTGTTGTGGTATATTCCCTGATTCTGGTGGGTAAATGGCGTGAAGTTTTGCCAATGTATCGGGAATTACATCCCGCGCAATTAAATTTATATACCACCATAGATTTAATTGAATCAAGGATTGGGTCTTTGAATGAGAAAAGGTTTTTGATTTTGAACGATGTGAAAATTAGTCGAATGTCAATATGTGTACAGAAGCGTTTTATAATGTTTGTAAGTCTGCGTTGTTTGTTTCGTGAGTAAAGTCCGATGTGTAGTTTAAAGTATAGAGTTGTTATTTTGGAATTTTCATTTGTGTTGGTTGTGATCGTCGTGTCAGGAGTTTCGGTGTCTAGTTTGAGGTTGTTGCTTTGTTTGTTGTCGAGATATCGTTTTACGGTTCTGTTAATAAAGTGAAGTGGGAAAGAGTTTCGTAAAAGAGTGGATGTGATGTTTTTTATGTCTCGTTGAAAGCCATTGTTGGTATTGTTATCTTTGTATGCTTTGTCGATTAGAGTGCGTATAAGTCCGGTTTTGTATGAAAGTGGTGTGAAACCACTATTCACCCTCTTGCTTCGAAATCATCGACACTGCCGACACCTCATTCATCCTTAAAATCAAAGAAGCACTCCACATTAATAAAACTAACCCTAACCTCAATACTCAAGTTTTTAAATTCAATACGATATTTAGTTTATAATACGCTCGGACGCTCCCCATTAATTTATCTTATTTCCTTTTATTGTTGTAATTTCTGTATCATATTATTTTTATATAAACCTTGTATCACCTATTATTTCACTCATACTGAAGATGGCATCATGAGATGTCGAAACATGTCTATTTTCAAAAAAGTTGTCGTTTAAATTAAATATGTATTGCACTGTTATTTTTGAGGTGTTGAACTAGCACTTTCTCTAGTGCTAAACTGACACCCACCGGTGGTGTTAAATAAAAGGTGTTATTATAACACCAATATTGGTGTTGATTTAACAACATATGACCTTAAACATATTGTAGCGTGTTAAATTTACACCTCAACACTTTAACACCTAATTAATAGTGCTGAAATAGCACCTTGTTCTGCCACAAAGGTGCTAAAGTAACACTGTTTTTTGGTGTTAAGTGGTTGGTGTTAAATTAACACCATGAGCAAGAGTTACAATAATTTATAAAGGGCGTTATTTCTGCACCACTCTCCTTGTAAAATCATGGGTGTCAAAATAACACTTATTTTAACGGTTTTTTTAACTTATTTTTATACTTATATCAAACTGCAGCTGTTTTCGTTCTGACATGGATAACAGAACAGTTGACTTATGCGTTCATTAAACAGCTTAAAAACTTCGTAAAAAATAGCGGCAATACATATGTTATATTAAACAGAGCTGGATTAAGCATGGATTTTTCAATTTTAAACATGGCTGCGTTTTTAAGGCAGCTAGTTATACCAGACTTTAAAAGGTTAATGCTTGTTTGAGTAACCTTCGTAGCATTCTCAACGAAGGAATCAACAACAGTTTGAGGTACACGTCCTCTTTCTTTGAAATTTAACAAACATAAAGTATTCGCTCTAGTCCTCTAGATAAATTGTCCTGGTCAGCCATAATGTAAAACCCTTTTTCCTGTTCAGGGTCTGTATTGTCAATCTCATGATTTTGATTAGCATCGTCGTTTCCCCTATCAGTATTCAACTCTGCGCTGCTCTTCGTATTGCGCAAGATGTTATGTTTTCGAATAAGGCAATTTCTCAATGATAAAAATTTCTTAAACGTCCTGGCACAACCATCGATGCCACAAACAACATGAAAATTTGGTTCATCACGATGAACACGGCCAATATGTGTTATTAGTAATTGAAGAGAATCTGAAACGAATTCTAGGCAAATATTACATCGATATAGACGCTCCATGACATAATTCACTTCAAGAATACAATTCACTTCTGAAGAGAGTGCCGGCTCAACTCTGTTACCATATATGGTGTGAAATGTGATATTAGCGACTATATGCAAAACGCGGTAAGATGCTTATAGCCTACTGTCACTGTCACACTGTCTCATATTTCATTTCATGATTTTCATCGTGATTTCATCTGTTTGTGCAGCGTTGTCAACTAAACGTAAAAGTCAATATTACCAGGCTAAAAGAGCCATTGGATTTAAGTTATTTGGTTTCGACGATCTCCCTTTTAAAAAGGTAAATACAAAGCTTTTTTGAATGTATTTTCTTATGAAATTTCTTGTGACACATACTTCTCCTCGTGCTTATATTTCATGTAGAAATTTTTGTATTTGTGTTTTACAAATTTGTATGCGTTTAAGGTCGGATGGATTCCACGTTGCTTGATAATCTTAAGAAGGCAGGGGTAAAGGACAGTGTAATTTCTATTCTTGAAGATGAAGAGGTATGTGTATAAAATTAATTTTGTTATGAGTGCGTGAATTTTTGCGTGTCGACGTTGTGACTAGACGACTTTTTGTTGCTTTTGTTAACACTGCTTGGTAAATATGGATTCCATACCGAAAAAACAATACTTGAATTTAGTGGGGAAAATTATTGAGGGAAATAAAGTGTAAAGATAAAAAATGACTTGGTAATCTAAGACGTCAAGCATTATGGGTGAAAATTCAACTGCCGTGGCTCCAAACTACAGTAGACTATGAAGTAAAAATACCAAATCATTATTATTGCAGCATGCTAAGTTGATGTTCGAATAAATTACTTCATTTTTTTTTACTCCGGTCCGCGGAATCCTGGCAAATGTTAAAGCCAAAAATATAGCAGAAAACGTAAACATGGATGAAAGGGACGAAAGTGTTACGCATGAAATTCAAGATTACATTATGGCACAACGGCCATAACCGCGTGACAAAAAATAAATACGTTATTTACCGTTTATATTTCGGTCCGAATAGAAAAATAGTTCCACTTAAATCAACAATAGCAAAATGCGTATATTGTAAATATTAATCAGTTGGTTGTATATTTTGCAGATATAAAGAGTGCAGTTACAGCATTGATATTCAGGTTGTGTTGAATGAAAAATCCACGGCCAATTGCTTAGTTTTCAAGATCTGCTGCGTAAGTAATAGACACCGAAACTATATAGAAACTGCACGGATAAAATTTTATGACTGCTTTAATATAAAATATAATTATATTACTGCCATGACATGACAATATTGTGTCTCACTTTCAATGACCTAATAATTCTAATTGTGTTTATGTTTATGCTGTTGTTTAGGAAGATGACTCTTTTGATGATGAAATAGCAAACACCACCTACCCACGACTAATTGGAACCGGAGAATTATGGAGTCTGGACCCCCTTGTAATTGCTACCGAAGGGCAAATTTTTTTAAATCTGTCAAAAAAAAATATAGAAATTTCATTGTCTACAGTACTACTTCTAGGTACATTTTATGTACTGAATATGGAATATACACCAAAGGCCTGTAACATTTATGCCCTTTTGGAAGCAGTTTTGATGGGCAAGCCCGCAAATGCAAAGAAAAGGGTTTCAGTTCAGAAATTTGTGAAAAGTTTGGGGCTTTAGAGATTATAATATAGTAGTATTTCTAAGATGTTTTATATATTTAATTATATATATACATTCAACTTTACTTGTTTCATATATTGACTTGTTGCCATATATAGTATGTTTTATGTTTTGTATATATTTATATGTGTGAATACATGCATATAAATCATTTCATTTTTTTAAATATATTTATTGCTCAGCATTTTTGTGTCGCGTGTTTAACTGGCCTTACATAAAACAATAAGAAAAGGGGTTACAACATAACACCGAATTTAAGTGTCCTTTTGACACCGGACGTTGAGGGCTAAATCAGCACTTTAACAAGTGCTATAATAACACCAAGAATAGGTGCTATTTTAGCACCAAACTCGGTGTTAATTTAACACCAGTAAGAAAATAACACCCGAAATGGTGTTATTCTGTACCTTTTAATTTAACACCACTTTTTAGTGTTAAATTAACACCTTAAAATTTACAGTGTGGCAATAGTGCTTTTACGAAATTATGGAAAAATTCGATTTCCGCTCGGCAAGACTCTCGCTACTATTTTACGAAATGCTGCCCTACTTTTACGGTGTATACCCATTCCCCCACTATGTCTCTATTTGTTGGGGGTGGAACAAGCTCAAGTGTATCATTGTCAATTAACGCTTTCATTTCATCATTCATGGCTTTTTGCCATTTTACTTTTTGATTGGAGCTTATTGCTTGGGAACAGGTCGTTGGGATGTTAGATACTCTATAGCAATAATCTACGGTATATGAGACAGTATCCTCCCCTGAAACTTCTTCTGTCATATACTCGTCAAGTTATTTAGGCTTACTACTTATCCTAGTGGGGTATCTTGATTCTCTAGATGTCTCTGGAGTACTAATGTCTTCGTTAGTTGTTTTGGGGTTTCTTTTATGCAATTTTGCTATTTGAGGTGCAAGTTCTTCATCATCTATCATGTCTAGTTTTGTTTTCCCTAAGAATCGATTTGAATTTCTCGTTTGCAAATTCAGTGTCGTTATCACTTCTTATGCGCTTCACATTTCCGTAAGGTGCAACATCTGCTAAAAACTGTTTTAATGTCTGTGGTGTATCGCTTTTATACTTAAGAAAATAGACCATATTCAATCCTGAATAATCGTCCACAAACGGCAATGTATATCTAAACCCTTCTCTTCCTTTCGGATCAATAGGACCTGCAAGATCCGTGTGAATAAACTCAAGAGGACCCCTCGTCTTTTTATTTTCCAGCTATTTTTCGTCTTACACATTTTACCTTGCGTACAAACCTCACACTCAACTTCCCTCAAGTCTGTGATTTTCATCCCCTTAACCACCTTTTCTAGTTTCCTAACATCCTTGCAGTTGCAGTGACCTAGAACCTTGTACCACTCCATGTAAAGAGAACATGAATTTTTATTCGAAGATGATGTGCTATTTCTGTAGTAAAGTTTGCCTTTTTGTCTTATTCCAAACATTGAGCCATCAGGTCACTGTACATACTTATTGTGTTTATCTAATTTGACTTTTGCCTTCTTTTCTACAGCAGCATTTACTGAGAATATATTTTGACCGTAAGATGAGACATATAAGGCATTACTTAATAAGACATCCTGCGCATTTCCATGCAAGTCAACTAATTTGACTTCAGCAGTACCTTTACCGACTACTACGTTGGCTTTACTGCCATCTGCTTATTCAATAACATGCGCTTTACTATCAAATTTACTACCAAAATCTATAAATTTTGACTAATGTGGCTTGTAGCTCATGTGTCCACCAGTAGAGTTAAATTCGCTTGATCCTTATCTTTCACGTCTGCTTCAGCGTTCTTTTCTTCATCTTTTGACACGAATAAAAAGGAGTGTTGCCGTTCACTGTCACAGCGCTGCCCGTCTTTAGCTGACTTGGAAGTTTCTTTCGTCTTTCTGCAATCTTTCGTGTCGTGGGTCATGGTCTTGCATATTGAGCGCCATTTGTTCCCCTTCACTTGGCATTGTGAGATTTTGTGTCCCTTTTTCCACAATTAAAACAATTTCCGTCAACTTTAGGTTTCACATACATAACGTTGTAACCTACCTCAGTTTTTAGGGTCAATGGTTTGATATTTTCTTCATGACTTCGTAACGCGTTTTAAATTCTGTAAATGTTATTTGTCTTTCCCTGAACTGTTACGGTAGCAAAGACGTCGTACGTGCTTAGCAGGCCCTTTAAAACCATTGCAATGAGTAGTGCATCACTTATTATCTCTTATTAGGGCGATTTTACTAGCAACGGACTTGGTACAAATTTTCTGCCCCCTCCTCCCCCACTCGCAAAATCCTGGCGACGCCACTACCAAAATGTAGCCACATGCCTAAATGCAGGAAAACTAAAATGTTTAATTGCGTTGTTTTTAGCTGCCATCCTTGATATTCATTTACACGTACAAGTAAAACTGTAACATTACGTAGCTATGTTTGATCTTCAACAATTTTAGTTGTCTATAAACTCTAATTAAAGAACCAATATATTTTGGTATTAATAATTTTATGACCCTTAGATGCAGTCAAGAGAAAAAATTAATAACTCCTACCTGCAAGAAATACTTACAGATGTTGAAAAGAAGCTTGTTGATTTTTTTATCCAAGAATGGAACCATCATTACAAAGAATCTCTCGGAGAATGGGAAAATACAAACGTCAGTGGTATGAAGTTGTTCAATATTGAAAAAACAAAAAAGAAACCTCCTGACAAACATATTCTGTCAAAATTTCAAGATGGCGACACCAGTAAGTGGGATTGTACAACACTGTTTGCAGCAATATTGTTTTCCAACTCAGTTGGAACAAAACTTGACCCAAAATCTAAGGCTGCTGTGGATAAACTTCGTGTTATCAGAAACAACTTCATCCATGAAAATAAAGGAAACGTTGCTGATGACGAATTTCAAACAATGCTTTGTGATATTGAAAAGTCATTTAAAGATCTAGCATTTTCATTCACTGAACTTAATGAAATAAAAAGTGAACGAAACAAATTTAATTCTTTTCAAGTACTTCCTTGCAAAGCAAATCACGATGTGGTTAAACGTACAGAGTTACTTAATCAAATCACAGCAGATCTCAACAACTTGCGCAGTACTAACAATAATGAACTAACATATTACTATATTTCTGGTAATCCTGGTAGTGGTAAATCTGAATTGGCTAGACAAGTTTGTGAAGAAATGTTGATGTCGGTTGACTGGAAAAAAAATACAACATTTGTAATGACACTAGAAGGAAAAGATAGCGACTCCCTTTTTAAAACTTATGTAGACTTTTCTAAACGATTAAACAATGATAAAACTGTCATTGAAAATATCTCAAAAGAAGCAAAAGCAGCGAAGACAAAATTAAAGATTTTCAATTATTGCTGACACAACAACTGAAATCATGGCAAACATGGTGGATTGTCGTAGATAACGTGGTTGAACTTCATAAAATTTATCCATTATTACCTCAAGTTGGTGATCATAATTGGAAAAATGGACAAATTATAGTAACTGTCCAAAATACAGATGCTATACCACCAGATGGAAGTCTAAATAAACACATTTCAGTTAGTCATGGTATGAACAATGAAGAATGTCTAGAACTTCTATCTGTCTTTTCTGATATTCATAATAAAGATGAAAAATTTTAAAGGATTTATCAGACAAATTAGATCGTCAACCGTTGTTCCTGGCAAATGCTGCTTCCTACGTAGGTAGAGTAAAAAGTGTAAATCCGACATTCACGTGGGAGCAATATTTTGATAAGTTGAATGAAGGAGAGCGACAGAACATGGATGGCAATTTTCAAAAAATAAACTCAGCTTACTTAGGAATGAAAACTGTTATGTTAGCAGTACAAAAAAATGCTGAAGAATCCATCTTGTTGAAACATGTTTTTAAACTTTTCTCAATAATATCTTTCGATCCCTTACCACAAGATGTTATAATACAATTTATTAAAACAATTGATCCAAAAATTTCTGCAGAAGATGTCTGTCTTCAATTAAAGCATTGTTCTTTATTTCTTCAAACGGAAAGCAACGACATCCGCCTGCACAGCGTTGTACACGAAGCCATCATAAATTATTCATCGCAGACCTTTAGCTGTAAACAAAACGAAAATAATTCTAAAAAGTCTGCAGCTGATCTTGCCTGTCAAGTTGCTTGGGCACTAAATCATTTTAAAGACAGAGAAGATGAAATCAAAATAATTCCACATCTAATTAAATTCATAACAAATTCATCATTTCAACATTTCCTAAATAAGTTGATCGATGTAAAATCATCATTAGAAAAAAACTTGATGAAAGAAATTGGAAATTTGCCAAATATTTTGTAGATGTTTTGGAAAGATTTTGCAACTATAAACTTGCAACTAAAGTACTTTATGAAATAACAGAAATTCAAACTAAAGTGTTAGGTGTTGATCATATTGATGTTTCATATTCGTACAACAAGCTGGGTGGGTTGCTTTGGAAGAATGGAGAATATGAAAATGCTAAAGATTTTCTCGAGCGAGCAATGGGAATTCAAGCAAAAACATTTGGACCTGACCATGTTGATATTGCTACAACGTACAACAATCTGGGTTTGGTTTACAGTGAAATGGGAGAGTACGAAAAAGCAAAAGATTTTTATGAACGAGCGATAGAAATTCAAACGAAAGCATTTGGACCTGACCATGTTAATATTGCGACAACGTACAACAATCTGGGTTCGGTTTACAGTATGATGGGAGAGTACGAAAAAGCAAAAGATTTTCATGAACGAGCGATGAAAATTCAAACAGAAACATTTGGACCTGACCATGTTAATATTACGACAACGTACAGCAATCTGGGTTCGGTTTACTATCATATGGGAGAGTACGAAAAAGCAAAAGATTTTTTTGAACGAGCGATAGAAATTGAAACGAAAACATTTGGACCTGACCATGTTAATATTGCGAAAACGTACAACAATCTGG